GCTTCTCTTTTAGGGTTTCCTAAGCTTGGTCTCTCTGTAAAAATCCAAGGAAGAAAGCTAAAACCTTATCATGACCAGTTACGAGCACAGTTTGACAAAAAAATTGATGTTTAAGACTGTTTATAACACATTCAGAAAGAAAAAAAATATTTAATTTTGTCTATTACTTTTTAGTTTTACTTTTAGTTAGTTTAAACATTTTATGTGTTACTCGGTAAAATTTAATCATTTACATTTTAACATTTGAATATATTTTCAAGTAAAACGCATTACTTAAAAACTAAAAATTAATATTTCAAATATAACAATAAAAACTAAAATATTAATATTTCAAATATAACACAAATAGCTTTAAGCCAAAAAAAACTTTTGTATAATAGATGTGCCCTTGTTTAATTGAAAATTTGAATTTTTATAAATAAACTACTATAAAGAATTTTCTTCATCTCAAAATTATCAAATTTATCGAATTTTTATAATTAAGGTTAACCTAAAAATGTTTATTCCACCTAAATATCGAATCCGGCTCTGTTTAGCATCATCTATATTCAAATTGAAAGAAGTAAGTTAGGGATTATTTGTTTCACCTTTGATGCCAAGAGGAAGAGAAAGCTCACAAGAACCTATAGGAAGCTGAAGCTTGTCTCTCAAGGTATCAAGATTAGGTTTATATAACCAAACATCTCCTCTCCGAGCCACAAGATCCTTACACCGAAACAGATTCGGAATCGGAAAGCATCTAGACACAAACAACACGTGACCTCTGAAAAACCCTTTCGCCGAAGCGGCCACCGTTGCTGCAGCCATCTGCAGATGCAATCTCCCAACGTCTCTTGACCAGTTCCCTTCTTTCCGACAAGGAAGCTTCACGACGATTAGATCGAGTCTTCTCGTAGGTACTTTGATCTTTGGGAGATCAGGACAAACAGGGACCTCTGTTTCTTGCTCCTCATCGATCCACTCTGGGTAGAGTGCGTCCCAAGTCACGTTCTTGTCTGCGTAGTCTAAATCCAATACGACAAGGTTTTCCTCATCCTTGTTGTCTTTAGTTTTGGCTAACTCTCTCCACCGTTGGATCTCGTTGGAATCGAAATTCAAGACACCGATCGTACGGCCTTCTTGGACGCTCTCAAGGGTTTTGGTCACATCGTCCCAATTTATCTCCACGTCCGAAACATATCTTGAATCTTGTCTTTTCCATATCCATCTGATTTCCACATTTGGTTGTATTAATATTATACAAAAAATCAAAACTCATATTCTTTTGATAGAATAATCTTTTAATCCTTACTTAGATTACTGATATTTATAGAAATTATGAGGTCAAGATTGTATAGTAAGATATTTACCTAGAAATTTTGTAAAAATATAAATGGCAATTTTGTAATATACATTTTCAATCACAATTGTGGAAAGAGGCATTTTCGACCCTAAAAATTATTTTGTGATTTTAAATTTTAATGACTTATTCTAGTAATTACTGAACTAATTTGACTTATTCTAGTAAACTTCCCAAAAAAATACATATTTCAGAAATTATGAGGTCAAGATTGTATAAGAAGATATTTACCTAGAAGAAGAGTGGGAAAGAGAATGATGATAATCTCCAGGGGAATAGATGATGGTGAAGAGAGTAGCCAATAAAATGACAAACAAGAGAACCTTCACGATCTGAAACTTGCTGCAACAACTACTGTTTTTGTCTTGTGTCGGAAAATTGATGATATTAAAAGGTTTCACCATATCTGATTTGCCACCTCCTTTGCTGTTCCTCCGGAATCTTCTCTTGCATATTGCTTCACTGCTTATAAAGTTAAAACAACACACACATGCCATTTATTTTATCTGATTTTAAAAATTGTATGGATATAATGAGAGTAATATGTGCTTACATGGAAGCGGAGAGGCGACGCCTAGAGTCTCCGGGCGTTGCGGTTGTGGCTGTGGCTGTGGCTGCAGGAGCGGCGGGAGAATTTGCCATATAAAATTGGTGGATGAAAACACTAGAATTGGAGAATGGAGAGGGGAGGGCAATATAGGTGAGACATAACGTCTGTTTTAATCTTTTTTTTGAAAAAGTCGTCTGTTTTAATCTTCTTATATTATATTTCCATTGTTCCTATTTTTTTTGTTTTTTTTTGGAAATATGAAAATGCATATTGCTCACCCACCTTTTCTAATAAAAATATTTTATCGTGATTTTCTAAAATGTTACAAATTTTGTATATATATCATGATTTTCCAATAAGGTCC